TTCGCCTCCTTCATCGACAAGGTGAGACCTTAGAGTAGGGTTTTTTTTTGGAGGAGGCATCTCGAGCAGCTTCCCCGGGGTGTGGAACGGGGCACTGGAGTTCTCAGAGCGGCGCCTCGGCAGCAAGGTGTAATTACCCGGGTTTTAATGAGCAGCACCGAACAATAGACGAGGTTTTGTGCTAATGGAAGATTAAAGAGAACATCTGCAGGACCTCCTGGGGCTCCTCGTGCCAGCTCAGCTCCACCGCCTCGTTTTGGGTGATTCAGGGCAAAGTCATCGCTGTAAATTGAATTGTCCTGAGAGTTCTCCTTGCTGGGCTTTGCTTTGAGCGAGACTTTCTCCTCAAAACCTGATTCCGGGGACTTCAGGGCATTAAACACCTCTGGGACACTCTGAGATCGTTTCCATCTCAAATAGAAACCGAAGGAATAGCAAATCCCTCCTGAGAGAATTTGTGGGCAGTTAGGGAATAAAAAAACCTCTTGGCCTCACTACTGGAAAGTTGACGGCAAAGCCCGACCCTGCTGGAAAACCGGGATGATGTTTCCTCTGCCAACATCTCTGTGTCCCAAAGGGAGAAGTTCAGAATGACTCAAAATTTAATTATTTAATGACTAATAAATTTAATAACGCTCCTCATGCACTTGAGGAGCTCGGATGCCTGACTGAGCCACAGCTGGGGGTTCGGGGAATGACCCCCTCGGGCTCCCAAAGCGCCCAGCAGCGGGATGTTCCCTCGGGAATGTCTCACACACCCCTGTTGGGTTCAGGTCCGGTTCCTGGAGCAGCAGAACAAGGTCCTCTCCACCAAGTGGGAGCTGCTGCAGCAGCAGGGGCCGGTGGGGCCGAGGAAGAACCTGGATGCGATCTTTGAGAACTACATCCAGAACCTGAGGAGGCGGCTGGAGAACCTGCTGGGGCAGCGGGGGCAGCTGGAGTCGGAGCTGCAGAGCATGCGGCAGTACGTGGAGGAGTACAAGAGCAAGTGAGTGCTCGGGGGGACGGGGAGGGACCACCAGGGGAGCTGGGACAGCCCAGAGACCCCCCCGGGGTCAGGGACGAGGGGCCCGAGGTGCCACCCTGCCCTGTGCCCCCCCAGGTACGAGGAGGAGATCAACCGGCGCACGGCGGCCGAGAACGAGTTCGTGGTGCTGAAGAAGGTGAGTGCAGAGGCACCGGGAGGGATGGGAGGTGTCAGGTGCCACCAGCTTCCTGAGGTGCCACCAGCTCCCTGGGGTACCACCAGCTCCCTGGGGTGCCAGCAGCTTCCCAGGATGGGAGCAAGGGGTTGGTCATTGGTGGGATCTCTCCTGTAGGACGTGGACTGTGCCTACATGACCAAGGTGGAGCTGGAGGCCAAGGTGGGAGCTCTGACGGACGAGATCAACTTCCTGAGGTGCATCTACGAGGAGGTAGGAGCTCTCTCTAGGAGCTCTCTCTAGGAGCTCTCCCTTCCCCTGGGCGAAGCTTTAATGAGGGTGTGGTGGCCGAGGACCCCGAGGCCGGGCTGGGTGTCCGGGTGGATTTAGGCTCGAGGCTGAGCTGTGCTGCCTGTCTTGGTCACAGGAGCTGGCCCAGATGCAGACCATCAGCCGGGACCTGTCCGTGGTGGTGTCCATGGACAACAACCGGCACCTGGACCTGGACAGCATCATCGAGGAGGTGCGGCGCCAGTACGAGCAGATCGCCCAGAGCAGCCGCGCCGAGGCCGAGGCCTGGTACCAGAGCAGGGTGAGCTCCTGGCAGGGAGTCGGGGCCCCTGGGACAGTCCCTGCTGTCCCAACCACCTGAGCCCTGGGTCGGTTTGGTCCCTGATGGGTCCTTTTGTCCCCGTGCCACCAGTACGAGGAGCTCCAGAACACCGCCGGGAAACACGGGGACAACCTGCGGAACACCAAGATCGAGATCCAGGAGCTGACCAGGAACATCCAGAGGCTGCGGGCGGAGCTCGAGAACGTGAAGAAGCAGGTAAAGGGTCCTCAGCAGCTCCCAGGGTTGGTTGGTGTCTCAGGGATGAGACTGAGAAGGTGAGGAGCAGGTAAAGGACCCTCAGCAGCTCCCAGGGTTGGTTGGTGTCTCAGGGATGAGATTGAGAAGGGCAGGAGCAGGTAAGAGGTTGGTTGGTGTCTCAGGGATGAGGCTGAGAAGGTGAGGAGCAGGTACAGGACCTTCAGCAGCTCCCAGGGTTGGTTGGTGCCTCAGGGATGAGACTGAGAAAGGGAGGAGCAGGTAAGAGGTTGGTTGGTGCCTTGAGGATGAGACTGAGAAGGGCAGGAGCAGGTAAGAGGTTGGTTGGTGTCTCAGGGATGAGACTGAGAAGGGCAGGAGCAGGTACAGGACCCTCAGCAGCTCCCCAGTGATGGCCCTGTGCTGGGTCAGCACTGAGCTGGGCGGGGTGGGGGAAAGGCGGTTTTGGAAATTCAGGTGCTCCGGAGGAGATGGATGGAGATGGATGGAGATGAGTTGCAGATGGATGGAGATGGATGGAGATGGATGGATCCTGCCTGTTTGCCCTCGGGTTCGTGCCCTGAGGCTGCTCAGAACAGACCTC